ATCTTACCATAATACTTTTATGTACAGAATAATAAGACAAATCAATTAGTGTAAAAAGAATAATTGTTTTTAAGAAAAGGTATGTAATTATTTACAATGGATTTTGTAAAACAATTATTTGTTTTTTTCTTTACACTAATTGATTTGTCTCATTATTCTGTACATAAAAGTATTACGGTAAGATTATCGAGAACTAAATATTTTACGAGATATTTTATTTTTTATATCAAAATATGTCAGATTAAAATATAAAATAACTCAAAAAGTACTTAATGAAAAAATACTTTATTATAGTGTTTTGGAAAGCTCTCGGGATAAGCTATAAGAATATGCAATAAAAAATAGGGGATTCCGTTTAAGAAATTAAAGGTGTCCTTGACTTGACCTTAACGATGCCATCCAAGGTCAAACCAGTGACACCATCTTATGTTCCCCTCAAAACCATACAATTTTTGTTCAAAACGTTTTTCTCTAAAATGCTTAGTTTTTGAAAGAAAAGGGGTGTACGGGTGGTCTAGGACACCCTGTATATATTTGGGTTATGAATGTAATGAGGCGACTAAATTATTTGTTGACAATCAGGATGCGATACAATTCATAAAAAATTCTGTATTACATAAATGAACTTGAATATGCTAAGCATATTCGTTGTTTTTTGTTTATCACACGGTTACACGTTGTATGCCATATCAGTTCAGTTCCATTTTTTATCTCGAATAAAGCAGTTATACATTAACTTTATTACCACTCCAAACACCATGTCCGGACAATATCTCATATATATGTATATATTATATAATATGGTAATAAAGTTAATGTATAACTGCTTTATTCGAGATAAAAAATGTAACTGAACTGATATAGCGTACAACGTGTAACCGTGTGATGAACAAAAAACAACGAATATGCTTGGCATATTCAAGTTCATTTATGTAATACAGAATTTTTTATGAACTGTATCGCATCCTGATTGTCAACAAATAATTTAGTCGCCTCATTACATTCATAACCCAAATTATTCAATAGCTGATGCAACCAAATTTCTTCCCGAGCTGCCAACGATGACGCTATATACTCCGCTTTTGTAGTGCTGAGTGCTACACTCTTTTGCCTACGAAACACCCAATTGACAGTTGACAAATCCATTCGCAAACAGAAAAACATAACCTGTAGTTGATCTACGTGTAGCCACATCCATAGCATAATCAGCATCTGAATATTTTGTTAAATTTGAACAACTCCCGCCAGCTCTAAATTCAATTGCGAAATCATCTGTGCCCTTTAAATATTTAAAGATACGTTTAACCGCATTCCAGTAGATTTGATTAAAATTACTCATGTGTCGACTCGCCGCATTCACCGCAAACGCGATATCCGGTTGCGAAAGTATTGCTAAAAATAACAGCGATCCGATCGCTTCCTGATAAGGAACGTTAATTTTACTTTGCTTATTATTTTCATCCGCTAAATACAGAATCACATTTTTATCAGTCGGAACACTCACAACTTTAGCATCATTTAAACTAAACCTTTTTACAATACTGTTTGTATAAAATTTTTGATGCAACTTCTATTTGCACGATCTCTTTCTATCTGCAAACTAACAAAAATACTGGCATGACTCATCGTTACAGTAAAAGATTTACTTAAAAATTCAAGAACTTTCTTAGATTTTGATACCACAAGCCCATCATCTACAAATAACGCAAGATATATTCTCAACACTCTAGTGAACATACACTTTCAGCCTCGCAGGGTTTTAACGCTACACATTTTACAATACGAACAAAATTTTCATTCCAACATCTTGCTGCTTATTTTATGCCATTAAGTGACTTATTCAATTTATACATCACTTTTGTTAAGTTATAGTCCATGTGGCATTTCCATGAACAGTTACTCATCCAGCTCACCATTCAGAAACACCGTCTTCATATCAAACTGCATCCATTCCAAGTTTTATTATGTCATCATAGCAAGAAACATCCTCAGCGTGTCGTACCTCATCACTGGTGAAAAGATTTCTGTGTAGTCAAGGCCTTTTTTTGACGAAAACCTCTTGCAACAAAACGGGCTTTATACCTTTTGGTTAATCTTTCAAGTTATTGAACACCCACTTTAAATCAATCAAATTTTTTGAGTTGTTTTTTGGTACTATCGAACAAGTATTATTCTTGTTATGTGCCTGAAGCTCATCTTTTATTGCATTGATCCAATGCAATAAACTATCTGATTACTATCAGGCCCACTTACGGCCTGATCATAAGTTTCCGTTACCAATCTAGCAATGTCAAACTTGCCTGGACGTTTGATGTTTGACCAGTCTTTCAAATTTCGACAAGATCCTTCTTGATGCTGGGACAATGGTGGTGTAATAAAATTCTCAGATTTTGAGTCATTTTCATTCTTCTCATCATTTATTTCTTCATCACCACTTTGATCTGATCCATCTTCCTTAGGAACATCATTTACAATTAGAATAATCTCATCTTTTTCTGAATTAGACTCTTCTTCTGCTGCCTTCTGATCAACCTCGTTGAATATCACATGTCTAGTAACAGTAATTGTTTTTTTGTTTGGATTGTAAACATTGTTGTTCTCTGATTCTCTCTCATATCCAACAAGAATAATTTTTTCAGCCTTGGAATCAAATTTCTTCTGAAATAAATTAGAAATGTTCACATATCCAACTGATCCAAAAATCTTCATATGAATCAAACTCGGTATCTTATTATTCCAAACTTTACAAGAAGCAGCCTAAGGATCTCTTCTCGAAATAGTTTTGTTCAACACGTAAAACGTAAAAGTTCTGTTAACACGGCCGTAATAACTGCCTCTGCCTACAAATAACTTGGTAAGTCCTTTGATTTCATCATAGTACCTGCACTTTCAATAACTGTTCGATTCTCCTTCTCTGCTTTTCCATTTTGTTCCGGGTAATATGGTACGTTTTCCATCCTTTAGTTGTCATGTAGCTCTTCATATCTTCACTAACAAATTCTCGCCCGTTGTCAGTATGTAGAATCTGCATCGTTTTTCCAAATTTATTCGCCAATTGTTTTTCAAACTCCTTGAAACACTAAAAAACGTCACTTTTATGTTGCATGAAATATACCTGTCTGTAACCCAAAGCATCATCAGTGAACAAGACAAAAAACTTTGCACCTTTTATCGATGGTTCCTGAGTGGGATCCAAACGCAGAAATATGTTCACCTGGTTGACGAGATACTTTTCCTGATTCTTTTCTAAATGGAAACTTATGTGATTTTTCGAGTTGATATGTCTCGCAAAAGAAATTTTTCACTTCATCTAGCTTGACACCTGTGACTGCGTCCTTTTTTTTAGTATTTTCTCAATGTACGACTGTTTATGTATCCAAGTCTCTCATGCCACCGTTTGATGTTCGTTTATGATACATTTACTTCATCTAGTTTTTTAGGAGGAATGATTCTAAAAAACATAAGAAAAATATCATTTTCTTGTTTCACACTTTGCGCAAATATCTGCTTGTCTTTCGATATCTCGACAGTATTCCCTTTGAACAGCACTTCGAAGTCTTTGGATGTCACAACATCGATCAAAGACAAATTTTTCCGTAACTCCGGAACATAGAGCACATCTTTTATTGTCGCTGTTTGTTAGACACTATCAACATTTTTTCTCGAATGTTACCGACCTAACACTTTTGACACTACACTGACCATCATTCCCAAGATGAATGGTTTCTTCGGTAAGTGGACGAAAGCAAGGTTGTGCCGTAGATTTTAAAATTACGTCTACATGAATTGTTTACGTATTATCTACATGACTCCATGTTTACATGGACTTTTTTCATAGACGATGTAAACTATGTAAGCTTTATAAATTAGATGTCAGAATGCAAAAAAAAGAATAATTATATTATAAAATAGTTAATGTATATGTATATGTGATTTTAGTAAAGTAAGGCAGAGAAAAACGTAACGCTATTGTATAATAGTCTTTTACGATTTATGTTTTTCTCTGTCTTACTTTACGTCCACGACTATGGCAGACGTCTCGTTCTCTGTCATCAGGTTTTGGCTGCTTAGATTTCTGTTTGTAATTATGTTTCAAGCATGAAACAAAAAAACGAAATATAAACAAAGTCGTTGACAAACCATATTCCATAGATTACTCATTGTTGACATAGATGACATGTTACACATAATTTACATTGTTGACGTAGACGTAAACTATTATAGTTTACGATTAAATGCCCAACCCTGGACGAAAGTCGAAAAGCTCTTCTGAAAGTAATGTGCCATGATGCACCGTCGTTAGTAATCCAGATTTCTTCGCTAGCGAGGCTCAACAATTTTGCAGATCGTTTTGTTACTGACTTTTCAGATTTTTCTATGATGAACGCACAATTTCCTGAAGAACCTTCACTTTCTTCTTTGCTTTTCTTATTTTGTTCCAATTTGGACTATATTTCTTGATGTGTCCAGTTTCATGACAATAAGAATATTCACGTGTTTCCTTCTTCACATTTGTTTCTTTCTGTTCTTTTTTGTTTCTGTTTCCAAGAAATTTTGGCTTTAAGCAGTAGCCTCGACCGCTTCATTTAATTTGTCATCATAAATAAATCGGCTCTCTTCTTTAATAAGCCTTTTCATTAGCTTGTCGACTGTTTGGTTCACTTCATCCACACTATCCCACGCTGTTTTTAAAGCATTATACTTGGATAATAGACCACCAAGAATTTTAGCCATGACGGTGACGTCATCCACTACTAGCCCAACATCTCTTATTTGTTGTACTAGACTCTCAATCTTGACCACGTGCTTTACCACTGAGTCGTTAGATTCTATTTTGTATTCATGAAAACTTTGAGTCAGAATCAGCTTGTTGGACACTGATTTCTGTTCATGAATCTGAATTAACTTGTTCCACATTTCTCTGACGGTTGAATAGCTCAATAACGGATAAATATATCTGGCCTCCATTGTCGAGGAAATCACCAACATAGCTGTTGAATTATCCACGACAAATCTTGCCTTTTCAACTGCTGTGGCGGTTTCTTCCGGCGCTGCTCTTGATCCATTAACAACATCCATAATTTTCTTTGATTTGAAAATGTGCAAAACTCCGAATTTTTAAATAAAAAAATCACTCCCGTCGAACAGAATATCTTTTAACGAAATTGCTTTAGATATTGTTCCAAAAATTTTTCTGTTCAACGCATAACATTATGTTCATGCACAACACATGGTTACCGATCCTTTCAGAACTTTCTTGACTCACTATAGAACTTTCTCGACTAACTTTCAAACACGTTATTAATCATCAAGCATCATGCCTAGGCACATAACCTGTTGAGTTATTGTCCGGATATGGTGTTTGAAGTGGTAATAAATAGTTAATGTATAATTACTTTACTCGAGGTAAAAAATGGAACTGAACTGATACAGCGCGCAACGTGTAATCGTGTGACGACTAAAAACAAAACAAAAAACTTCTCAGTAACAACTGAACAGCAAGACGCATGCACACGCATGCATACGAATAGGCCATAAGGCTCCGATAGCTAGCGCGCCTTGTTGGCAAACGCGAAAAGCTCAATCATTCGCTCCAACAATATATATATATACAATATTCTCTAGAATTTTTTCTGTGCATAATATAGGGAATGTATTTTTGCCTCACAATCTAAATGTTAATATTGCGTTCAAATTTTTGGCAAAAATGGAAATTTATGCTATACGTTTATTTGGACAATATGTTCTTACTTTTAGACTTAAGATGCAGACGGCGATGCTTGGAATCCATCATCACAACAGAGAACCAATCCAAAAGACGGTTAGCCATTGCAGGCTTGGATGACGATGGGCAATCGGTATTTCTGGACGGTAACTGAACGTTGTATATTGCTTTAAACGGTGACTGGGGTTTATCCGTGACTTTGTTACTCAGATGCTTGTCATCATATTTGTTCGCAATAGCGAGATCCTAGACATAAAACACATCATAAGTATGTATAAAAAATATATGTGAATATAATATAAGATAGGCAGTTTTTGTGTGCGTTTATTATTGTATAAAACATTTAATAAAGAAATGAACAGAGTAAAACAATACCAATATTGTATTTTACCTAATTTATATTACACTTTGAAAATATTATTGTTCCCTATTTAGTTCTCTTTCTATTATAACATTATTGTTGTGCCGCCTAAGGTACAACGAGATTGCGGGATGGTTGGAGGATTCGTTTTCGAAGTTGGAACTTCGAGTGCCAAGGAACGAGTGACATAAGTTCCGTACAAAATTAACTTATTTTAATAGCTTACGTATCTTACAATTCTTCTCCAATACTTTTCGAGGCTTCGCAGTAGTAGCATTGTGATATCGGTTATATAAATTGCTTTTGTAAGAAAGGATTAAAATGTTAGTGTTGTTGTAACTCGAAATTCAATAACATAATTACGATCTAAAAATGTCAAAAGAAGTACAGCGCAAATTCAGCACTTCGTAAGCTATTGCGCGCGCTCCCAAAACCGCGATTAAATGCAAGATATGCAATTCGTTGCAATATTCAATTAAGACGTCGCGACCTATTACCGAAAATTCACCTACTTTCGTATTATAAAAGGAGAAGTAACGAGTACTTCGGAGCCGTATTCCGAATCTAAGTGGTGACGCGTATACACGAAGAAACAGTGAGATTCCGCCACCGCCGATATTATACGTCACCGAAGCATCACCAAGCCGGACTGTAAAGACATGTAAGTTGTACAAATAAATTATTATTGCACGGAATTTTTGTCTCGTGTTTCTCGACACTCGAAATCCCAACTCTTAAAACGAACCGAACCCTTGGACTATCCCCAAATTCCCGTTGTATCCAGAGAGGCACAACAGTGTTGTCTAGTTCTTTTGTTATCTCCTGAAGCCTAAAACTTAAATCCATTAATATGCCATGATTCTGGATTATTTTCTTTAATTTTGCTACATTAGATTTCATAGGTGTGTCTCTTAAATCGAATCTTAAATTCGATATATTGTATTCCGGCAAATATGTTTGGAAACAGGTACTATCTATTATTCCCGAAGTTTTTGAAATAAATTTCCGCATCGTATTCGTAGCTTCATCTAACGATAGCGTTAAAACCGTTAGATACCGAGAAGGGAGAAACTGTAAGAAACAGGCAGTCATGCCTATGCATTCAATACGAATAGAGCTATATATAAGAGATTATAATAAATCGCATTTTTTGGTCCGTTATAAATGAACCGTATTTCAACTGTTCATACTATTTTCCCATATCCCTACAACAGGTTATAGGCCCAGAGTAGTGTTAATAGGAGAGTTCTAACTCAGGTCCTCTGAGGGGTGGTGAGGGACGGGGGGGTCCCGCGCGGGCGAGGGGGAATGACGTCACGCGGGCGGGGGAGCTTATCGCGGGAGCATAAACAGCGCGGTGTATTACAAAGGGCGGGTGCCGATGTCCGGCTGCTCGAATTTATAAACATTATAAACAAATATCGTCTCGCATTATGGCACGTGCGGCATTATTGAATTTCGTAGAAAGATGATAAGGCTAGCGCCGATGTCCGGGCATAATCGGCGCGGTGTATTACAAAGGGCGAGTGCCGATGTACGACTGCTCGAATTTATAAACATTATAAACAAATATCGTCTCACACTATTGCACGTGCGACATTATTGAATTTCGCAGAAAGATGATAAGGCTAGCGCCGATGTCCGGCTGCTATAATTTATTATAAACAAAATAGAACCATCGTTTGGTGGCGGGGGGGAATGACGTCACGCGGGCGGGGGGAGCTTATCGTATTATAAACAAGATAGAACCATCGCGGTACCATAACGCGATAGATGAAAGATATATAATAAAGAACGAAGGGTGTCAAAAACTCAATATGCAATTTGAAAGCTTGCGGTCCGTATATCGGTTGAAAAAGGTACAGCGGGTACTTGTATTTTTTTTGTGTGTCAAGTGTTCGGTAGAGGAAGATTTTGTGATAATCTGCACAAAAATGGAAATAGATAATGACAAAGATCAAATGGAAATAGAGAATAATTTCGAGGCAGAATCGTCCGACGAAGATCACGCATTGTCGGATGACAGTAATTACAAGAGCGATCAAAGCGAAGATCTCGAAGAAAGTGTTGACAAGATAGTGCCTCATTCGCAAATTATTGCACTAAACGAACGTACAAAATTTTGCACCATATATTTTTATTATTCCACGGATGGTGCTTTAGATTTATGTACTACATGTATGATTGCTATAGCAGACACTGATTTCGGGTACATGTATGCGGTTCGGAAGCATGTGATTGAGATATACGACGCGATAAGTGGCCGGTCCTGTTCCAATTGCAGGACTCCATTGTATCAGATCTTTCCATGCAATATGTGCCCAATTTGCACACAGTAAAAAAAAACATTATAAAAACTCGTTTGACGAGAGATCGATACCGCGTTCGAAAACCATATACTGACCAGTGCGGTGATTAACGCATACTATATCGAACCGCGACAATTTCTCGAAGATGCGAAAGACATTGTACTCGAACACGTGCAAAAAGTTATGGAAAGATACTTTAACGTGAAAGTGAATACTGTGTTCAACGTTTCTATTTTTTTTACAGATGTTTACACTATTTTAGATCAGACGACAAGTTGCAATCGCACACTGTAGACTGCCGAGAAGTGAACGAGTGCGCAATCCGATTTCCGGGCGATAAAGACAAATGGCTCAGCTTCAACAACTACAACAGAAAGGAGCGGCTTCCATTCGTCGTATACGCCGACTTGGAGTGCGTGCTGAAAAAGACCGACGGTGATCCGATGACGTCTACGTACACGTTTCAACATCATCAAGTATTTAGCGTAGCTTATTATGTACATTGTTCGTACGACGAATCGTTATCCGCGTATCATTCTCGCCGCAGTACGGACTGCGTTTCGTGGTTCGTGAAAAAAATTAAAAAATTTAGCGCAACGCGTAAAGACTATTTTAACCACGAATGTCCCCATGGTAAATTTAACGCGAGATGAGCGGGAAAAGTTTCACAGCGCGACACACTGTCACATTTGCGAAAAACCGTTTGAGCAAGACGATACACGCGTACGCGATCATTGCCATCTTTTAAGTGCCGGGCTTGATGAAGGACGAGAATAACGGTGCGATCATGACTGAAATTGTCGGGCTTAGAGCAAAAATTTACGCGTTGCGAGTAGATAGTAAAAAGGATACAAAAAAAAGTTAAAGGCGTCAAGAGTAACGTCGTAGCGAAAACGATAACGTTCGACGATTACACGCGGTGTCTGCGCGATGAAATTGAAATGACTCGACAGCAGTTATGCATAAGATCAAAATTGCACGAAGTGTACACAATCATCGAGACAAAAATCGCCCTGAGTCCGTACGACGACAAGCGATATATCATCGACGGGTCGCATACCGATCGTTCGATGCTTGCGCGTGTTGTAATTCGACACGAGTCGTGGCAACGCGTCGACCCAACTCGGATATCCCAAATTTGTTGATATGCATCATCGATGCGAGCGACATCAATCGATCGATTGATTAGTTTTGTCAAGACACAGTTTAATTTATAATAATGCCGGCTTCGCGAAGTTCCTCGATGATCGACAGAATCTCGTTGTCGTGGCCGTTGTGACCTACTTGGTGCGAAGCGTCTCGGCGGTACATCCTGTGCAGCGTCCGATCGTTTCGATTTATGCGGTGTCGGTGAGCGATCCGACCTGACATTGGATCGTTTTCTTTTTTGCGGTGTCGGCATCATCCTTCTCGCGCTTCGGGATGGATAACGCTTCGATCCCCGCATCGATGTTACTCTCGGGCTCGTTCTTCACCGCGATCGAGCTAGAGTTGTCGACGATCTTTTGTAGCGGCTCGATGAGATGTCTAAAGCGCCTGTCCAACACGATATCCTCCTCGATCTTACCGGTCTTTAAAGCGCGATGTTTCTTGCGAATCGATTCGCTAGTTTTTTTAATTGCCCTCGCAATCTTCTCGCGCAAATAGGTAGAGGCCTATTAAATCGCGCGATAAACGCCCTTCCTTTTGAGTTACATATCCCCGACTATCAGTTTTGCGGCCCGGGCACGCGGCTACAAGAGCAATTAGCGAGAGGCGATCGGGGTATAAATCCATTGGACGCGGCCTGCCGCGAGCATGATACAGCGTATTCCCGGAACACCGATCTCACCGAGAGACACGCGGCTGACAGGATACTCGCCGAGAAAGCGCGAACTCGCATCGTCGCGAAAGATTCGACTCTCGGTGAGAGAGCCGCAGCCACAGCTGTTTGGGCAGCGATGAAAGCCAAGACAAAGATCGGCATGGGTATGAAGACGAAGACGAAGACGAAGACGAAGACGAAGACGAAGACGAAGACGAAGACGAAGACGAAGACGAAGACGAAGACGAAGACGAAGACGAAGACGAAGACGAAGACGAAGACGAAGACGAAGACGAAGACGAAGACGAAGACGAAGACGAAGACGAAGACGAAGACGAAGACGAAGACGAAGACGAAGACGAAGACGAAGACGAAGACGAAGA